TTTTTCTTTATCTCGGTGCTGCTGATCCCCTCTCACCTCTATCAGTCACTTCAGGGTTTATTTACTAAAGCTGGAGAGTCCAAAATCAGACTTCCAGGTTTCATTGCCAAAGCTTCATTGAACAAGCTGAGGTTAGAAGCTGATTGGTTTCTATGCAGAAGGGAGTCTGATTTTGGACTCTCCAGCTTTAGTAAATAAACTCCTTCCTGTCTATGTGCGCTTGCTGCTCATCACTGCTCTGGACAGGCTTCCTCATAGTAGCAACCATGGACCATACCTGTGCAATGTGAATAGGCACAATCCCATGTAGCATCCACCAGGCACATATTCTACATACAATCACAAATCTGGAGTACAGTTGACAGACAGTTGTCCCGACATAACAAGAACATCCTGCGCAAGGACCTTCAATCAGTATCACCAGGTATTAATTTTGTGAGATTAAATGAGCCTGAACACAACTCTTGAAATGACATTAATGCCGGAGGCTATTATGAGATTTCAGTGACTGGGTTTAGACCTACTAAAAGCCTAAAAGCCTTTTTGTCCAAAAAAGCACTGTTATTGCAAATGTCTTCAAAAAAATGCTGGAACCTTTTAGTGATCCTATGCAAATAGCAATGTTCTGAAGGTTGACATTTGTGTAAGCAGCTCCAGCTCTCCCATTGTGACCCTGTTTGGGCTTGGAAATAGTTTGCTCATCTTAGAGAGATGCGTTGTGGGTGGAAAGTGGAGTCATGTCTGCTCCTGCTGTAACCAAGAAATTGGGTTGTTTTTGGAGGTTCTGGTGGCACTTTGAATAGAATATCGGTAGGTTTAGTTTTTCAGCATATTGCAGCAGGCATGCATTTAGTTTATCAGATTTTGTTTATTATAAGTTTGATTTAACAATTACACCTTGTGTGCAAGCTCTAATTATCTATGCCCGGGCTTAACAAATCCCAGGCGCCAGCTTGCAATGGCGACTAGAAATTGCATCCTGGCGCTTGGGCTTTTGCCAGCCCACTCACTGTCGTAGTAATGCACAATTTGTATCACCCGACGCCTGGCATATTCAGTTCTGGGCGCTGGGCAGGTAGTTTTTGTATACATTTAGCCCTGCTGCGGGCAAGCATCAGGGCTCCCTTTTCAGGTGGAAACATTCTGGTGGCTCCGCTGCCTCCTGATTGCTTCCACATACGCAGGTAAAGTGCCCCCCCTATGTACTGCCCCTGCTTGGTATCTGCTTGCCAGGACCGGCATATCAGGTAATGCAGGGTAGAGGGGAGGGAGGAGAATAGACATACATGTGCTCTCCTCCGCATCTTGTTCCTGACCTGGAAGCAATGTGTATGATGCCACTTCTGGGTCCCCGTTGATAATTTCCCTGGCCAGTATGGTTGGGAAAAAATGTAATACAGTGCGATCTGTACTACTTTACATTCAGTAGAGCACAGGGGAGACATGCAAGGTCTTTTAGACCCTGCATGTCTCATTAAAGAGAACCTGTCACCAAAAAAACATCACACGCATGTGTTGGTTGCCTACACATGAAAACATTAATTGATGTTTAATACATGTCACATATCTCTGTGAAAGCTGGAATGAGAGCAATAATTCTAACACCAGTCCTCCTCCACTAAATTGATGACCTATAGGGGGATTTTAAAGCGTCATCTATAGAAAATAAAGGGTACTGAAGTTTGGCTCCTAACTGTTTAGCTGGCTCTTAGATTCAAAGCAAGTTTGTCAAGCCCTGCCTTATGTCATGATTATTTTAGTAAAAAAAACTACTGCTAAAATGCACTAATAGAGGAAAAATGCTGTCTGCTATATATCCACCGATATTTTTCAGATGTACCAAACCATAAAAAAGGAGAGATAGTTTCATGTTCCTTGAACTATAGTGAGTCTTTAGACTCCTCTTAATGACCCCCTTGAACCAATGGTGTATTTAGGTTTTGTGCTATCCCAGGCAACACATAAATCGGCGCCGCCCCCCCCCCCCCCAGAGAGAGCCTGATGCCAATGACCCCCCACAGAGAGAGCCTGACATTCACCAACAACACCCCTGCCCCCCCCCCATCTGAGAGAGCCTTCTACTACCACCCCCCCATACACTGGCCACCGTGGGGAGAGAAAGACACTGATCTGCAAAGCTCCGAACATCCCTGGGAACGAGAGTCTGGGCTCTGCATACACCATCACGCAGCCTGCAGCCTATCAGAATTCCCACCTGGTTCCCATGCCACGTGTGTCCCTTCTTCCAGAGGGCAGTGCTGCCCCCCTGAAATATGCCACCCTAGGCAAATGCCTTGTGGCAAATACACCCCTGCCTTGAACGCAAACCCTGCTATAGTTAACTTACTAAATACAGCCACAAATGTTCAGTTTGTAAATATTGAGGCTAGGTATTGCCCTCTTTACTTTTTTAGCCCTACGCTCTGGCCTACTAAAGTCATGATGGTGAATACAGCCTTGGCTCTATGTTCCATTACAATCCTGAACTTTCATTGAGCTGGAGATTTGGGTGTGCGTAAGAAGCAAAGGTACTGTAATGTATTGGAAGTGTGTGTGTGGCTGCATGCAGTCTCTTGTGCACTGAAGATGAGAGGTGGGAGAGCACATATGCACTTTAACCCCCTTGTTAGCTGACCTTCCTATAATTATTAAGGCCCACAACGATACTTTAGTGTGGGGCCTGCCTGTTCCCCAGCATATATCATCAGAGGACACCTGGTGAGGCACCCAGCCAGCGCTAACCAGCACCCCCATGGCTGTACAGCCCATACCTTGTAGAGTTCCAAAGCAATAGACCCCATTGTACACCACCACGCACCATTTTGTTTCCAGGATATGCTCCCATCTAGGGTCAGAATAAAGGAATACTCATACAATAGATGCTTTTGGTCTTTGCTTTACGAAACAGAACATAGGAATTCTTACAATGAGTCCATTCATCCTTCTAGATGGAGGAAACACATTCTTTAGATTACAAAGTAGGTAAAATATTAAGAGGAGTGATTGTTAAGACCCGTAATATCTGGATGGCTATCCCAGAATCTTGTTCCAAAAGCACTGGTCCTTTGATAAAGTCAGAAGCTTTAGCTGAGTACTCTGAAAAGCATTAGTCTTTAGAACACAACAGCCTAGCTGGCTACTCCCAGCTTTCCCCCTAGGTGGGAGGTTTCTATCCAGGGTTCCCACCTTCATGAAGTATCTTGTCCTGGTGCACTTCAGAGAATCCTTATCCTTCTGGCAAGGCTGGCTATTGAAACCCCTGGGAACAATATACCTAAATCATATTCAGCATTTCCCTCTACTGGCAGGGTCAAGGCATAGGATTCCTTAAAGTATTAGAATCCCAGGGACTAACTCACTGCTAGCTATAGTGACGTTTGATTGGAAACAAGGGAAATACAATGGGGCACTTTTACAGTACCTTCTCATTGTATGCACCAAAATTAAACAGTAGGACTAGGAAGATGGTTATTATTCTTTATGAACAGACTCCACTTTTGCTCAGCACAATTAATAAGACCAACAAGTATTGTGAGTGATCACCAAGGTACTTGCTTCAGAAGGCCAATAGGTGAACATTGCCATAATTGCTATAAATATGTATATTGTTTTGGCTACTAAGCCAATACTGGCATGCTAATCCCCCTGGAAACTCAAAATCTAACAGAATTACTATCTCCATACTCCAGCAACCCTTCAACATCAGCAATGACACTGGGTGCCACCAGGAACATACCACCCCATGTTTACAGAATGGTTATCCCATGGTTGCGCAGCAAGGCTCTGCAGAGCATCCATGAAGAAATATTGGGTCATTTTTGTGTTATATCCCATAACACACCTGGGACATATGTGATTGGCTTTATTCCTGCATGTGAAGGCCTTTTGAGTAACCAAATTTGGAGCTGTGGGGTTGACCGTGTATACCCGCTTGATGTTTCTGTCCACCATTTGCTATGGATCACTGTCTAGCCAACATATCTTGTTCATTATATATATATATATATATATATATATATATATATATATATATATTTTACATTTTTATCCCGCCTTTTCCAAATGAAGTTGGTATTATGCAGGTGAAACGCATTGAAGCATCAGTACCCTCACTTCTCTTTGTGGATGATAAATGATGCTTACACAGCCACTTTATTAATCGTATAGTTGTGTGAAATCATATATGATTTTGCAGAATACTGATCACAGATTGGAACTGTGATATCAGTATTTAAGTAGCACATCATATATGAACGTTGTAAGATTTTATTGATGATATAAATAATAAACATATGACTACTGACTATAAATTGTCTAAGTGTTCTAAGTAGCACCTGAAATAATTTTGGTATATTACTGTGCTCTATTTGATTATTCTGTTCTTTGGGGATGTGGTGTGTGTGCTTCTATGATAGCCTGCTGCTCTTCCAACCCATCAACATTATTCGGTACAATTATATTATACCCCTTGTATCTCTTGACTGCATCCAGCTATCTGTTTTGAGCACACCTTTTCCTGCTCAGTTTGGGCAGCACAGAACATTTGGTCCATGGAAACAAGAGTCTAAATCCAACCAAAAGGATGAACACTATCCATTAAATCCAACCCAGTCAACATCTGTTTTTAGCTTTGGATAGAATATTATAATTCAGTCCAGTGTTTATTGAAGTCTGTGTTCTCGTGGGGGGGATAATTCTTATTTTAGGTGAGGGTGTCACCAACACAGGAAGTGACAGGAAATCCCCCCATAGGAATACCAACTCCAAGGAAATAATTTTTGGCCTGATTTGGACTTTATGCATTTGAAACCAGTTACCTAACATAACATCATTATTATTTTAGACATTAGCCCTTTTATGTGAATAAAAAAGTGTTACTGTTCATGGAGTACTCTGTGAATCAGGCACATCTGGAGGATTTAATGAAGGACCTGGAACAGTCCTCTGCTTTATCTCATCTTAATTGAGCAGACCTGAACCCGAAAAACAAATATCAGCTCTAGATAATAGGAACCAGGGGCAGACTGACCATTTGGAAACTCGGGCACTGCCCGAGGGCTCGGGGTCAGTAGGGGGCCCCATGAGATGCCCCTGGTACCTTTTTCATAGGCTTTTTTGAGTTTGGGCAAGGACACAGGGGCCCCATGATCCCCTATTGCCTGGGGGCCCCATGAGTTGTCAGTCTGCCCCTGCTTGGTACCTTTTTCATAGGCTTTTTTGAGTTTGGGCAAGGACACAGGGGCCCCATGATCCCCTATTGCCTGGGGGCCCCATGAGTTGTCAGTCCGCCCCTGATAGGAATCTCCCCTGGTTTGCATTATGGAAGTTGTCCTGTCAGCCATCATGATGCAGTAGATGGGCTGATTGGTTCACAGAGCTGTCTTTTCCCTTTTCAAAGATCTGACGTACAGAAGATCACTGGAGGCTATGAGTTCAAAGGCAGACTGAGGGCTAATTAAAGCTTAAGTGTCTTCTGCTTATATTTCATCTTCTCTGTTTCTCCCCTCCTTTTCCCTATCGGCACATGAATGAAACTTGGAGGCTGGGCTCACACAAGCCAACCCTTACCCACAACCACCTGCAGCTGCATCATGTTTCTCTTGCGAGATGTGGGCGGGGGGGTGCCATTCAGAATCTCATCCCACACAGCACAGTTGCGGGTGTGGGAACTGCACGAAATGCACATGGTCAAAAAGACCATGCGGTTTCCAGACAGATGTGTTTTGGAAAAGGTGATTGAATGAAGCATGGGCAAAGCAGACCATAAAAATTAGTGGGCTGCCCTGCCCGAGCAAACATGGGCCGCACGGTAAACAGGGCCCTAAATAAAATGTTCTTTTCTTACATACCATATCATTACTGGCTCAGCCCCTCCCCACTCCCTCCTCACTGGTTGTAATTGACAGCAGCTGGAGTCAATGACCAATGAGGAGGGAGAGAGCCAGGAGAGCCGCTGCTCTAGTGTGTAAAAAAACATTTGGCCTTTACAGACACTTTAAGGCAAAAAATGTCCCAGCGTTTATATTGTCCCCTCACTCCCCATTATACTCACCTGAATCCTATCTCGATCCAGCGCTGGGCCCATCTGCAGCAGCTTTTCTCCCCTCTATTTCTTCTCACAGGAGACTCTGGTGTGGAGGGAGCCATTGGCTCCTCCTGCTGTCAATCAAATCCTGTGACGAGGAGGCAAGGGGCAGGGCCAAGCCATGCTATGTGTGTCAATAGATGCACACAGCCTGGACCAGGAGTGAGCCTGCAAGTGCGTCCCCATAGAAGGTGGCTTTCTATGGTGGTGCGCTGAGAAGAGGTGGAGCCTAGAGCACCTGAGGGAGACCCTAGAAAAGAAGGTTCTGGGCTACTCTGCAATACCATTTCACAGAGCAGGTAAGTATGACGTGCTGGGGTTTTTTTTAGAAAAAAAAGCTGTTAAACTTTACAGCTGCTTTAATGCGCATTGTGAGAAGCTCACTGTATACAGTGAAATCAAAGTGAGCAGTTTAAATAGAGGAGAAAAGCCTGAACAACTGTGCAGGACTGAAGGGAAGGCTGGAGGTCAGCTTTAAGTATAAATGTAAAAGTTTAATAAACATATACAGTACTTGAATTAATGGGAGTCTTTGATATCTTTTGATACCCTTTGACGCATATGTAGTACCCTTTAGTGTGCTACTAGAATAAGGTAGTGTATTGTAGGTAAAATCATTGTGTATGACCAGGGGCGGACTGACAGCTCATGGGGCCCCCGGGCAATAGGGGATCATGGGGCCCCTGTGTCCTTGCCCACACTCAAAGCACACCCAAAAAAGCCTATAAAAAGGTACCAGGGGAATTTCATGGGGCCCCCTACTGACCCTGTGCCCTCGGGCAGTGCCCTAGTGCTCGAATGGTCAGTCCATCCCTGTGTATGACTCATGGTAGCTGTGTGAGTCTGTGATTGAGGTCGGGTTACTGCAGGTTAGCTGGATGATAACAGGTTGTGGCTCTAATGCCTTCTCCTGACTCTGGAGGACCATAGAACTTTCCAGAAGTTGGTAAGTAGGAAGGGGTAGAGACCTAATCTGCATATTTATTGGAATCCCAGGCTTGGAGGCCCTGGTAGAGTGGTGAACTGGCCCATAAATATTGGAGAGTCAGGCTGACAAGGAAGTCAGAGGGAAGATGGAGTGCTGAGGAGACTGTTGGTGCCTGTGAGGGTTCTCGAGGTCTGGGGGGGTGACCTTCAGGCTGTATTTGGGCTGACTCGGGAGGATACATTCAGCAGTGTAGCATGAATGGGATATAGACCCAGAGCAGCAAGGAGCAAAGAGGACAGAGTGAGTACAGCAGCACTCCCTGGGATCTACAAGGGGAAAGACTGCCACACGTAGCAAGCTTTCTAAAGACAGCTCTGGGATCAATCCTTTATTCTTGTCCTGGGAGATCTCCAGAGAAGCCAGGGGGGCTGGTAGTGTTTGCAGACCATGGCGTTGGGAGCAGCTCTACAAGGGGGAGAGAAGATATCCCTGCATGTAGTTAGGAGACGTTAAGCTGATTTTTGAAGGGTTGCTAGTTCCTTGCCATAAAAGGCAGCTGCTACTGATCTGCAATGACTGGCGGCGTTCAAGATCTAGGATCTGCCTTTGTACATAAGAAGGAAGTTGATTCAAGCCAAACTGGGCATTCGATAATCCCTATTTCCCTATCCAAGTTGATTTCCCCCGATAAAACAACAAAACCAAGCTCATGGACTCTTGGATGCAAGTCTGTGTGAGAAATACCTGTTGCCTAGCAATGAAGAGAGAAGCTTAGGGGTACCCACAACACAGCGGCCCCCATGAGGGTAGCGCTACACATATTTAAACTTTAACCTGTCAATGGAACTTCAAAAGTCATTTTAAATATTTTTAAATCTACAGATTTCATTAAAATAATACCTGGAGATCCTGCTATGAAAGTTCTTGTTTAGACACTTCCTGTTATAGGGTGACTGTGTTCTATCCCTGACTCCGAATTGTTCTCCTGAGCTGTCACCCCATCACAGGATCAGTGTAGACTAGTAGCACATTCATGTTCAGTGTTGTTACCATCTTGAAAGCCACTCTTACGAACAGGGGCGGACTGACAACTCATGGGGCCCCCCGGGCAATAGGGGATCATGGGGCCCCTGTGTCCTTGCCCAAACTCAAAAAAGCCTATGAAAAAGGTACCAATGGCATCTCATGGGGCCCCCTACTGACCCCGGGCCCACAGGCAGTGCCCGAGTTTCCAAATGGTCAGTCCGCCCCTGCTTATGAATAATGTACAGCTATCACTTTAATGCACAGTATGTAGCGGCTGCAGGAGATCAACGTCACTGAGATGCAAAAAAAGATGAATAAGTGTGAAAATAAAGAATTTTATTTTTTTTTAAATGGCAATTGTTTATAAAGCACAGTGCTTTCAGTGCTAAATGTCTTTCAGGTAAAGTTTACTACTTTACTTATGTGTATTGAGATGTCCACATTGTATATAACATGTATACCTGTATATGAGAACATAACTAATTTGCAGTTGGCAGATAGCAAAAGTACAGCCTACTCATATTTTTCTTGCTCTCTCCTATAGATCCCTCACATAAAGGTGGGACCGGAAGAAGCCCCCAAGCTCCAATACCTGCGCTTTGCGTCTGTCAGTCTGTATCCGAGTAATGAAGACATCAGCTTGGCTGTCTCCCATATCCTGAAGTCCTTCCACAACCCTTCCACCAGCCTTATCTGTGCCAAGGCCGAATGTAAGTCATTTAAACAGCACATGTTCTTTTATTAATAAACAAAACGTCGCGCTGTAGGACATAGGGGGGCGGTAGGCAGCGTTCTCCATTTTTCCTATGACAAAGATTTTAGCATATATTTGCCAGTGTCATGTAAGGTTACTGTAGCCCTGTGAGCCCCCATGCTCTTCACTTGCAGCCACAGAAGAAATTGTAAAATAGCCAGTGAAGGAGGGAGGTCCACCAATGAGCATTTGTATGATTTAAAATTTTCCCTGTGCAGCCTTAAAGCAGTATTAAACCCAAAAGCAAACATTTTTTATATTGCAGCTTACCAATTCTTAGATGTGATGGCTGTATTTGTTTCCTTTTTAAAGCTTTCTTTCTTCTACTTTCATCTGGTGATAAGGCCAGTAAGTCTGTTGTTTTTCAAAAGCTCAAGCTCTCCAGCAGAATGTACTGTATACATGGATGAGACAAACCATTTATCACTGACAGGGGTGATTGAAATGATCAGCTTTTAGTTATCCATGTAAAACCTTTAGCCCAAAAGGAAAATAAAGGTTTCTGTAAGTGATTATAAAGTGTGAGCCAGAGTTTGGCTTCAATTAGTTACTGTTTTTAAATCTGTTAATACAGTTAACACTCGCATCCCCCAGGCTGACAATGCTGCTGTTTACTGTATCTCTTGCACTCATCAATCCAGAGTAATATCTCACTAATACAGGAGGTCTGCTACTTGCCAGACCATTAGTTGAAAAGAGAGGGAAAAAAGCCTTAAAAAAAGAAAACTGATGCAGCCACCACATCTAATGATTGGCAAACTGCAATATATTAAATTTTAGGTTTTGGGTTTAATACCGCTTTAAAGTGATTGCAAACCTATAAAATTAAAAATTAACAAAGCACATCCCTCTATAGTGTTTACTTGCCTCAATCCAAAGCACCTAGTGTGCTTTCTGGCTGCTGTCTCCTTCCTCCGCTATCTGCATGAGTCACTTCTGACAGTTTATGCCAACACCAAGTCAACCCCCCTCCCCACCCCCAGCACACAGGAGGTAATTGACAGCATGTATCCCTATGAGATTGTGTAGGGGTGGGTGTGTCCTTTCCCTCCACTCAGATCTCAGTTTACACTCAACTCTAATTTCTGTGTGTCCAGTGTGTGATATCAGATCTTTGCCCCCTGCTTACTGGAGCTGTGTAAATTCTGCACTTTGAACAGCTCTAGAGACAAAGGGCTCAGATAAACAGGTACAACTTATGAAGGAGGATTTGTTTTGTCTCTGTATCACCTGAGGCTAGTCAGTTCATTGGGTATATGTAAGGCTTTACAACTACTTTAAGGGTCTTTCTCATTGGATACAAACTGAATAGATAGTTTAGGGAGATCCACATATTACATAGTTTTGGTTAATCTAAAGAAGATTGTACAGCCAGATTGTAACATGTATGGTTGGCATTGCATTTACCACAGCTATGCAATATGAGGACACAACTAAATAATCCATTCAAGCTGTACTCAATTAGGCAAGACCAGTACATAGTTGTTGGGAAAAGATTGTACAATCAAATGTTATAGTGTATGCCACTATAAGATACATTTCTTATAAAAGAGATTGTTTAGAAGATGTACAATCATGTATGGTCAGCCTATGCATCATACACACATGCTCCTAGCAGCAAGTACCCCAACCTCAGCTTTATCTGGCCAATCAGTTATTTGTCAAAAATTTGAAAAGGCTAATACTACTTTCACACTGATCCTTGGCATATACACATTTGCATTTTTACTGCACCTTTGCCATGTTTTTACCACGTTTACTGTGAGTTTTTTTAAAGGTCAAAAACTGCACCAAAAATACAGTGCAGATGCATTTTTTATGCATTTTCGCCATGCTTCCAATTTATATCAATGGGAAGGTGCTTTTTTTTAACCGCACCAAAAATGCAACAAGCAGGACTTTGAAAAATGCAGCGGCCCCACAACAGATCAATGTGAAGAGTTCCATAGGAATACATGGTCACACGTTTTTCTTCTGCTTTTTTTAAATGCAAAAACTGAAGAAAAATGGATCACTGTGAAAGCAACCTAAGGCTAGGTTCATACTAGCCTGCACTCTGCACTTGCATCCACCTTCAGTCGCATGGCACTTCTCTTATAAGAATGGCACTCCCACCCGCATCTCATCCCACAATGCAATAGCGTGAAAAGGTGAAAAGGACCATGTGGTTTCTGTGCAGATGCGTTTTAGAAAAGGTGCATGCACCTTTTCCTTGCGTGCACCACGGGCACAGCAGCCCATTCAAATGAATGGGGTGATGTGCTGGTGGAAACACGGGCCGCAAGGGCCGCACTAATGTAAACTGGGCCTAAGCATCTTCTACAGTCATATGGTAACCAACGACATGCAGACTTTGTCATCCAACCTTATAAAAAATGCATTTTTTATGCATTTTTGCCACGCTTTCAATTGGTTTCAATGGGGATGTGCTTTTTTTCACCGCAACAGAAATGCAGCAAGCAGGACTTTTAAAAATTCAATGGACCCACAACTGATCAGTGTGAAGAGTTCCATAGGAATACATGGTCACACGTTTTTCTTCTGCTTTTTTTAAATGCAAAAACTGAAGAAAAATGGATCAGCGTGAAAACAGCCTGAGGCTAGGTTCACACTAGCCCGCACTCTGCACTTGCATCCACCTTCAGTCGCATGGCACTTCTCATGCAAGAATGGCACCCCCCCCGCATCTCATCCCGCAATGCGATTGCAGTAAAAGATGAAAAGGACCATGTGGTTTCGGTGCAGATGCGTTTCAGAAAAGGTGCATACACCTTTTCCTTGCGTGCACCACGGGCACAGCAGCCCATTCAAATAAATGGGCTGTTGTGCTGGTGCACACACGGGCCGCAAGGGCCGCACTAATGTAAACTGGGCCTAAGCATCTTCTACAGTCATATGGTAACCAACGACATGCAGACGTTGTCATCCAACCTTATAAAAAATGCATTTTTTATGCATTTTTGCCACGCTTTCAATTGGTTTCAATGGGGATGTGCTTTTTTTCACCGCAACAGAAATGCAGCAAGCAGGACTTTGAAAAATTCAATGGACCCACAACTGATCAGTGTGAAGAGTCCCATATGAATACATGGTCACACGTTTTTCTTCTGTTTTTTTTTTAATGCAAAAACTGAAGAAAAATGGATCAGCGTGAAAGCAGCCTGAGGCTAGGTTCACACTAGCCCACACTCTGCACTTGCATCCACCTTCAGTCGCATGGCACGTCTCTTGCAAGAATGGCACCCCCCCCGCATCTCATCCCGCAATGCGATTGCAGTAAAAGGTGAAAAGGTGAAAAAAACATGGTTTCTGTGCAGATGCGTTTCACCTTTTCTTTGTGTGCACCGCGGACACAGCAGCCCATTCAAATAAATGGGCTGATGTGCTGGTGCACACACGGGCCGCAAGGGCCGCACTAATGTAAACTGGGCCCAAGCATCTTCTACAGTCATATGGTAACCAAGGACATGCAGACGTTGTCATCCAACCTTATCAAAATCAGACAGATTGCACAGCTATCATTTGCTGTTTATGGATACATTCTTGTTGCTGACCTTCCTGTAGAGGTTGGCTTTTTGTAGTTTTATTTAAAGCGAAGCCTGTTGTGCCTTTCTTGAAGCTTGGGCTGATTTGCCTTCTACTGGGGAGCCGAAATGAAATCTGTGAAATTCATTGAACACGTCTGATTTTGTAACCTCAGTAACGTTAAAACGTTCTCTTACATTAAGTGCTAGTGGGATCATGTCAGTTGTAAGAAAGGCTTTTATTTTCTGTTTTATGGACACTGAGCAAAATCTGTCTTTTTTTTTTATTCAGGAGTGGGTAAACCCACAATTAGGCATTAATCACCATACTGGGCTAAATTATATGGCTTAAATAACTAGAGCGTTTATATTTAACCAAATCTGCCCAGCATGGTCACTACCCCGTTCCTTTGCTGACAATTATTATCTTTAAAAAGCTGTTCAGGAGAGCGGAACGTCCTTATTTCACATTTTACCGGAACAATGCTGAGACTATAGGCTAAACAATGTTCTTGCGGTCTTCTTGTTAACAGAACAATGAATCTACGTAAAATGACTGTAGTCTTAGCAACATTTTGTTCTTTACAGTGCTTAGTAATTAAACTATTTTTAATTTCAGTACTTTACATATTTTAATTATTTGAGGTCCTCTATCCTGATAGAGTATGGCATCATTGGCTATGCTACCACTAGGGGTTTTCCAGTCCAGTTTTTGGTCCGCCATGTGGAACAAGCAGCCTAAAGAGAAAGTGCTTCTGTTGCTGGCAGTGCTGATAATACAAGAATTTAGAATTAAACAAGAATAAGTAACTAAACAATTTCTAATTACAATAATTCATATATTTCAATTTTTTGAGGTCCTGCACCCTAATAGAGTATCACATAGTTGGCCATGATCCCACTGGGGATTTTTGCCGTTTTCATCCTCTACAGATTTAAAGAGAAGTTCCACCCATTTTTTAAATTTCCTCTCATTACATGGTTTGTGTGTTGTCCAGCACGATTTGGAAACATTTTTTATTTCTTAATGTACAGTATTTTCTGGCGTATAAGACTACTTTTTATACTTAAAAATATACCCCAAAAATTGGGGGTCGTCTTATACGCGGGGTATAAAATGTGAACCTTGAGTTTGTTTGGGTCAAGCTGGCTGGATGTGTGGTAATACTGTACATACAGTATACCGTGCTGAGCCAAGCTGGCTCAAAACAAATGTCCCTATGACAGATGAATCTGTCAGCCTGCTGGATGTGCGGTATATACAGTATACTGCGCTGAGCCAACCGCTTTCAAAACGTACCGGTACTTCCCTACTGTAATCAGCCCGCTGGATGCGTGTATGTACGGTAGCTGCGGCTACATACAGTATACACTGGGCCAATCACGGCGAGTGATGTATTCTACTAATGAATACAAAGCCTGCTCGGATTGG